GGGGATGGGGGCAAGGGCGGGAGGGGAAGCCACCATTGCCGCCAGATATACACACGCAAGTGTCTTAACCTTCTGTTGAGGGCTGAACTCTGATCTTTTTCTTTGCCCAAAAAAATCCTTTCTAAGGGGGCCTGGTGAGTCTCACTTATAAATGACACAATCTCAGTAAACAGGTTGTAATGATGTGGCTTACTTCCCAACCTGATTCCCATGTAGCATCTCATAAAAGGTAGAAGACACTTACCTGAACTCAAGCATTCCTTTCTGCTGATTCTAGTCTTTTGGACAAAACCTAACTCTTTCAGCCAATTGTCAAAGAATCCCTAAAGCCCCCTATGACTTCTAAGCCCCCACTTTGAGATGTCCCACCTTTTGGGGACAAACCAATGTTTGCCTTCTATGTATTGATTTATGACTTTATCTGTAAAGTAGTGTAATTCCTGTCTCCCTGAAATGTATAAAACCACACTGTAACCCAGCCACAGCAAGTCCTCTTGTTCAAGGCTTCTTGGGCATGGCTCTGGGACATGGGCCTGGAATGTGGCTCAGAATAAACCGCCTTAAATTATTTTACAGAGTTTGTCTTCTTTTATGTTGACACTGTGCATCAGCTTTCACAATCAGAAACTGACAAATGCTATTAATATTTAAACACATGAAATGAGGAGCTCAACTCTGTCCTTGCCCCCGCTAAGGACTCACCACTGAAAAGGGGCCTATTTCAGGCATTGGTCCTGCCTTCCCTCCACTCAGCACAGCCAGGCCCACCCTGAGGAGAGATGCAGCCCTGCACCCAGTCCAGGGCCTCTTCCTGTCACTTCAGGTCTCTTCAAAGGGTGGAAACAAAGGCCCAGGACCAGGTCCCGCTTATCAAGATTCGGGAGCCTTTCTCAGCCTCAACAGGTGCCGATTCTCCTCTCTGTCACCAGATGAGCCTGCCATCACTTAGTGCCAGCTGGGTGGCTGAGTGAATGGCTGAATACATGAGAGTCTCACAGAGAACCACTGGCCTCAAGGCTGAGCCCTTGCGGAAGGGACTAGAGGGAAGCCTGTGACTAGCGGCCTGAAGGTGGCAGCAGCGGGAAGGTGGGGGCAGAGTCCTCAGCAGCCAAAAGTTGACTGGCGGGGACTTCCAGATTTTTTGCAAGGAGTAACTTTGGTTCACAACAGGTCTGGGGCTCCATCAGGATAAAACCTTCTAGAAAACATATCGTTGCGGCTAGGACGGCCAACTACGGACTTGAGCCCGTTGCATTGAGGCCGCAGTGTGCCGGGGCGAGACCGGCGCGGACCGGTTTGGGCGGAGCAACCGGAGGACAGCGCAGCCTCCGAGCGCCCTGGGTGGGTCAGACTGCTTGCTCGGTCCGCGCTGTCCTCTGGGCTCCGGGTCTCCAATGGCACCGGCCGCGGGCTCCAAGTTGGGTCAGACGGTCCTCAGGCTTTGGCTTCTGCTTCTGCTGACGCTCTGGGCCTGTGCGGGGCGGGCCGGTGAGTCGGGGATGGACCCCAAGCGGGGTCGGGGGCAAATGCGGGGGGCTTGAATCGAAGGGGAGGAAAGGGGGTGCCTTGCACCGAATGAGAGCCCGGCTTCTAGAAGGGCGGGAACGAGCTCTTCAGACCATGCCCCGCTCCTCAGGTCCCCTCCGCGGGCTCCCTCCCTCCGGTTCCCCGTCGCCGGGGCCGCAGGTTCTCGCTCAGCGCAAAGAGAGGGACTGGAAAGAGGCAACAAAATCGCGGCGGGAGGATGGGAGGGGCGAGAGGGATGGAGAGGGCCGCAATCGCAGGTGAAGCCCCCCTACCCCAGCCCCTCCCCGCCCTCTAGAAGCGAAAGCCCGAGCCACGGGACTGGGGCTCAGGTGTGGTTAGGTCTGTTGAGAGGACGATGAGTATGCCACAGGTTCGCGACCACAGACGCCCCTGCGACCACCACAGGCCCTGCTCTACTCTCACAAAATCTCCCCACACTAACCCTCCAGCACCCCGGGCTCTGTGCCCTTGAACTTCCTGCTGCACTTTGCCCCAGGACATCACCTGCAGGGCAGGGGCTTCCAGACACTTCCCACCCCTCCCTCCCCATTCATTGCGCCAGTGCACAGGCCACATCCTTTTACTCCCCACCTCTGTCCTCCCCCGTCCCCCCACAGGCCTCCCTCACCTCCCCATCCATGAAGGGGCCCTAACACCTCCACCAACTGGCACCTGTCCCCCTTGCCCGGGGACACACACAGCAAACATGGCCAACCTGCCCACAGACCTAAAGTAGGAGGGATGGGAAGGACCTTTCCCCCAGTATGACCCTGGGGATGCTGGTAAGGAGAGGCACCCCCCTCTGCCCTGGGGTCCCTCACCCACCTATTCTGCCTGCTGGGCAGACAGGATCATATGCAGTAGTGGCCACTTACACAGGAGTCAGCGAAGGTTTCCCACAGAGGGAAGGGACTGGACGCTTTCCTCTCTGCAGGTGTTGATTCTTTCTCTGTGGCAAGTACAGTCTCTCTGTAAAGCAAAAACAGGCAGAGAACCTGCAGACAAAAGGGGGACCAGACGTAGACACTGTCCTAGTTTGGTGACCCCAGATCGGGATTACACACTGTCCCAAGGATTGGTGTCCCATCCCCAGGGTGTCCTATCTCAGCTGCAAGGTGAAGAGTGACAAGCAGGTCTTTCCCTGCCTAAAGCTTCCGAGTGGGATGGATGAGATGGTAGTGCGGGTCCTATGGTTTGGGGCCTACTGCTCCCATCTTTGCTGTGGCTTCCTGGTCCACATGGGCCAAGGGACACTCCCCGCAGCCACAGGTATGAGCCCTGGGGAGGTGCTAGGATGACAGTGTGGTGTCCTGGGCATCAGAACACCTGCTTATGCAGGTTCATTGTTCCCTCTGGCCCTGCTTCTGCCAATCCCAGGAGGATCATATGTGTCTTGTCATTGCTGGGCTTATCTCCTGAATGACCTGTTGGGTGAGGAGCACATTCCATGATGGACAGCTCCGAGGCTGTGTGGTCACTGGTATCCCATGGCTGAAGGCCCCGTCTCTACCAGGGCCCAGCCATGCAGGAGCCACTTTTAGTAGTGGCATTTCCCTGCTGCAAGTGGGAGGGCCTTGCTGCTGAGCACCAGGAGTCCCTGTTGTAATTCTGCAATTACGAATTGTCATCAACTCCACAAATCCACTTTTCCAACCATAGGTGCCTCTTGGATCTTACGGTGTCCTTGGACAGATGGCCCTAGTGGCAGGTCCAGCCACACTCATTGATCACTTATTGTCCATCGCTGGTTTCAAGCAACTAAAGGAGTTATGTGCTTGCAGGAGACATCATACAGCCTGCAAAGAATAAGATATTTACCATATTAACTACAAGGGCTGTCCATTCCTGGAACAAAACCAGCGAATGTGAAATGACCATTGAGTAGGTCTGTGGACTCAGGGCACGCCTTCTGAATAGGACCTAGGACAGGTGTCCATTCATTACCTTGCCCCAAAGGTGCCTCGTCAATAACAGGGGTAGGATGGTGCCTCAGTCAGTTGGCAGGAGGTCATCACACACTGTCCAGTAGGAAGGTCTCCATGTTTCCTGTTTCCTGGTGCACAGGTACCAGAGGGAAGGCCCAGATGGCTCTGTGGGGAGGTGGAAGGAGCCACTGCCATTGTGGTAAGGTTGTTGGGGCCCTCCTGGGACCGTGGGCTCTCCTGTCATGGGTTCTAGGCCCGAGACACGGTTCAGTTGTGAAAACTGGGCAGAGGAGCCCAGTTTTTCCCTAAGGTGCTGCCTTCAGCCTCCTGATCATCCATTCTGTGTTCAGTGTTTGTTGTCGCAACCATGTAAATCCGGCAGTATTCGGGTTGGCTGCCATCTATTCTGCCTCTTGCACCCCATGTCCAGTTGGCCATGGGCATGGCCCTCTGTGGCTCTCTAATCAAGTCTGCCACTGCACCCTCCTTGGTTCTGACAGTGCAGTGCCTCACTCAGATTATTTCAGCACGTTTCACGCCCGTTACTACTGGGAGCGGTTTCAGGAGCGCTGTCTCCTAGCGCCAACCCTGCCTTCAGCAACAGGCATCCCCGAGCTTGTTCACAATGCCGAGGCCCTGTGCACTGTGCATTCTTTCTATGCCTGGGAGGCAAGAGTCCTCTGGGCTGTCCTACCGACCACAGTGCAGGGGACATTGTTCTGGGTTTCACACTCTAGCCACTCAGCACATGCACTGCCTTGAGCTTTTCGATCTCCTCCTCCAGTGCCCTCCCCAGAAGTCCTGCATTTTCTGTTTCATGCCGTGTGCACCATACCTGTGTCCAAGGTTCCACGAACGCATCCTCATAGCAGATGAGCATCATGCCAGGGGCTTTGCCAACGTGTTAAAGCCTGTGACCCATGACAGTGAACTCTCCTTATGTAACCTGCATCCCGTCCTCACCCCAGACCCCCTGCCCCAGCATCCTCAGGGCAGCCCCTGCACTCTGCCCCTCCCACACCCACGTGGGCTGCTGCTGAAGGTGCTCTGGCACCCAGGCCTCTCCTCCCATCGCAGGCGGGCACCTCCCTGGCGAGGCCATGTGCTGACCTATGTGGGCAGAGGGGAGGTGGGACATGTCTGGGCACATGTGCTTTCTTGCCAGACACAGACCTCCCCCTCGTCCCCCTCAAACAAAGGAGGAGCAGTGGCCTTGATCTGGTGGACGTGACAACCCAGGAAGGCGAATCCTGACTGGGCCGCCCAGCCCTTCAGAGGGAGTCTCTTCCTGTCACAATGGGGAGACAGTATCTGGGGGTCTGTTTCTCCCCACCCAGCCCTCACATCCCTTTCTCCTCCACAGAAACTCACTGTCTTTCCTATATCTTCACCATCATTATTAAATCCACACCTGGACAACAGTGGTGTGAGGTTCAAGCCCAGATGGATGGAAAGATTTTTCTTCAGGGTAACTGTGGAAACAAGAATTTCAAACCCTGTGGTCCCCTGGGGAAGGAAATCTATGGCACAAACGACTGGGAAGAACAGATGGAAATACTGACTAATGTGGCGGAGGACCTCAGAAAGAAACTGCTTGATATTCAAAGGGAGAATGACACACCGTTGGGTAAGTTTACAATGGCCCAGGGCAGCAGAGAGCAAATACTAGGGTAATTTACAGGCCTTTGTTCCTTTTATGTAAAAAAGAGGGAAGGGGGATTTTGGTCTGACCCAGTGGGTCCGGGAGCAAATCCAACATGTGGCAGAGAGAACACAGCCAGGAGACAGGAAGGGAACAGGGTGGAAGCATAGGACTTGTCAAGCCCAGACCTGATTTCTTTCCCTTAGGGACAAACAATTTCACCGTGAAGGTGAGGATGTCTTGTCAGCATGAAGCCAATGGACACACCAATGGATCCTGGCAGTTTCATTTCAATGGACAGGAGTTCCTAGTCTTTGGCTCAGAGAGTAGAAAATGGACACTGGCTCATCCTGGAGCCAGGCACATGAAAGAAAAGTGGGAGAATGACATGGATGTGACCAAGTTCTTCCATAACATCTTGATAGGAGACTGCAAGACTTTGCTTACAAAATTCTTGTTGCATTGGGAAAAACTGCTCCAGCCAACAGGTAAGTGAGAAAACTAAATATGGGAGCTTCCTTGGAGTTGAGATCGAATTACCCAAGCATGTGAGAGTGTGTGTGTGTGTGTGTGTGTGTGTGTGTGTGTGGATGTGTGTGAGCAAAAATGATCCACTCATTTTGGGTTCTTCTTGGGAGGATAATGAAATTAGTCTGGTAACTGTCCTCACTTCCTCTCTCACCTCCTCTCTTCCTCACTGCACATACTTTTGGTCCATTCATTGTGATTTTCTAAATAGCCTCAAAGCCGTGGGCACCATGATGTTCCCAGACTTAGGCCTGACTGTTCCCTCCTGCTGTTCTCCTTTCCTCTCACCTGGTCTGTTTCTGGAAATCCTCCAAAACCTCTTCAAATGCCAGCTTCAGAGACCCTCCCCTAGCCCACCCTCAGGCATCACCTCCTGTTCTGCCAGGGCAGGAGGGATGGGTCATGGGGTCCCCTTGTTTCCCTCAGCAGTGTGGGAGCTCCCGGAGGACAGGACACATCCCTGCCTCCCCTCTGAGCTCAGAACCTGTCCTAGTGACTGTCACACAGCAGAGGGTGCAGATGTCTGGGCTGCAGGAGGACCTGGGGCAGCAACAGTTGAGGAGGCGACTCCTCAGATTGGGGGCCTGGACCAGGACTGTCACTCTCCTGTTTCCATTTCAGCACCACCCACCGAGGCCCCAGGCACAGCCCAACCCAAGGCCAGGGCCACCAGGTCCATCTGCTGCAGCCTCACTCTGCTCCTCCCCTGCTCCATCCTACTGGCCGTACTGAGAGAGTGCCTAGAGTGACAGGTGCTGTGGGCAGATTGGGAGGGGAGCAGGGCAGGTGGGGAGGTGGGAGGACCGGGAAGGGACTCCCAGAGCACCCCCGCCCCGTCCCTTCCACGGGACCTTCTTGTCCCGGAATGAGACAAGGGAGCGAGACCTCCTGTCACTTGACAGTAGTACCCTGGGCCAGCTCCACTCTGAGTTCTGAAGAGTTGTCACTGTCACAGGCCAGCAGGAAGGGAGGGCCCACACCAAAGCTTAGGGCATCTGGACACTGGAGGGGAGCAGCAGCGTCAGGGGATTCTCAGAGCAGGCTGTGTGTTCCTACGGGCCCATGCTGGGTGGCGTGCAGACAGCAGGACCACGGGCACCAGCAACACATTGGTAGCTCCAGGTGATGTTTCAAAGGGAAATAGGTTTTGTTTACAAGGAAGAGAGCAGAGGAACTGAGTATAATCCCAGGAGGAAGGGCTGCAACACTCTTGACACTCCCACTTGCAAAGGCTGGAGCTCAGGGCTGCACTCCACGGAACGTGGCTGGGGACACAGCAGCTAAGCTGGAAGGTTGAGAGCAGAGAGTGTCCAGGTCGAGGTTGAGAACAAGGCCAGTCCCCCCAGACCCTGGGATTCCCGGCTGGGCCCTGGGCAATGTCCCTGACACCCAGCCTCCTGCACACTCCAGACCCTGAGCCAGCAGATGAGCAGAATTGACTCTGAGGACAGGTGGGCTGAGCTGCGGCTGGAGTCCCACAGTCACAGCTGAGCTGGACCAGGGATGGATGGGGACAGTCACATTCAGGGTTGTGGGTGCCCTTCCCAGGGTGAGGAGAGGCTGAGAGGAGGCGAGAAAAGGATGTTTGCCTGCAGCCCCTCCCGAGGCCAGGGCGTCATGGAGCCAGGCCCTCCCTCTGGACAGGCCCCGGGGCTGGAGAGCCCATGAGAGGGAGGAGGCACTGAGCGGGGCGCAGACCCTCCCTCAGCAGCGTCAGTCCCGAGCCACATGGTCTGCGGCGGGGCCTGGGCTGATCTGCGATTGTAAATGGGGGTGGAGGTGGGTAGGGGCTGCAGGCACCAGGCATTGGGGTAGCAGGAAAAACATGTCCCTTAGTGACAGGTCCCCTCTGACCGGGGCAATGACTGGGGAGGGATGGCCCAGGAGAACTGGCCCAGGGTCTCCTCAGCCTCCTAAACCAACACTTGTGTCTTTTCTGAAGGTGAAGCTGCTTCCGCCAAGCCCCTGTGAGCGTGGCCTGGTTCACACTCTCCCCTGTGGCCGCCACCTGTCCAGCACCTGCTGCTGGTGTCCAGACCTCCAGGAGTTCAAGGCTTCCCACATCCAGAGTGTGTGATGGAACTGCACCTTCCACATCTCAGGGCCTATGTCCCTTAGTAATGGTCCTGTTGCACTTTCCATAAATACCAGCCTGTTTCTCTTGGTGCTCAACAATGGATTGTTTCCTTCCGTAATTTATTACACTATACTGATAAGCTTCTGCGCAGCCAGAGAAACTATCACGAGTGCAAACAGGCAACCTACAGAATGGAAGAAAATATTCACATGCTGCACATCCAATAAAGGGCTGATAACTAGAATCTCTATAGAACTCAGGAAAATCAGCAAGAAAAAAAATCAAACAACCTTATCAAAAAGTGGGCAAAGGACATAAACAGAAACTTTTCAAAAGAAGACAGTCTAATGGCCAATGAACATATGAAAAAATGCTCAATATCTCTAATCATCAGGGAAATGCAAATCAAAACCACAATGAGATATCGCTTATCTCCAATCAGAATGGCCTTTATCAAAAAGTCCCAAAACAATAAATGTCGGCGTGGATGTGGAGAGATAGGAACACTCATACACTGCTGGTGGGACTGCAAACAAGTACAACCTCTGTGGAAAGCAATATGGAGATACCTCAAAGAGATACAAGTAGATCTACCATTTGATCCAGCAATCCCATTACTGGGCATGTACCCAAAGGAAAAAAAGACATTCTATTAAAAAGGCATCTGAACTAGAATGTTTATAGCAGCACAATTCACAATGATGTGGAAACAATCCAAGTGCCCATCAATACATGAGTGGATTAATAAAATGTGGTGTATGTATACCATGGAGTTCTACTCAGCCAGAAGACCAGTGGAGACCTAGCACCTCTGGTATTATCCTGCATAGAGCTGCTAAGTGAAGTATCCCAAGAATGGAAAAACAAGCACCACATGTACTCACCATCAAATCGATAATAACTGATCAACCCTCGTGTGCACATATAGCATTCACTGGGAGTTGGGCTGGTGGGAGGCGGGAGGAGGGAATGGGTATATTCACACCTAATGGGTGCAGTGCACACCGTCTGGGGGATGGACACGCTTGAAACTCTGACTCAGGTGGGGCAAAGGCAATATATGTAACCTAAATATTTGTACCCCCATAATATGCTAAAATTAAAAAAAAAAAAAGAACTTGATGTTCTACAAATCTCAGTGACTTTGGAATTTTCTTTTATAACCCAGTATAGAGTTAATGGAATTTCATGTCCTCCATGTCAGGCACTAATAAACCTAGCGACCCTGTGAGATTTCCTGTGGAAACACAGTGTAAACTCCCAGCAATCTGCCTGTGGGTCTCACGCCTTGTCCTCACACCCTGGATGCAAACACATGTTCTGTGCTTAGGGACTGTGATGTTTTCTGGGTTTGCCCCCACACAGGTCCCCCTCAGCAGTGACTTCCCTTGTCATTCCTCAGCCCTGACTGCACCTGCTTCCATTGGAAGTCAGTCCTCACAACAGAGCAGGACTTACCTTGAAAAGTTATTTTATTCCCCCATGAGCAGATGATCAGTGTTCAGAATAGATAAGGAACTCCTACACGTAAGTAAGAATACATCGAAGTCTCCTAAGACATGGGCAAATGCCATCAAGAGTTCACAGATGGTGAAGAAGCCTGTGAAATGTGTGCCTCAACACATCCCAGATAATGAACATGACACAAAGTAAAAGGGCAGCGGTATACCTTGCACACCCAGCATACTAACACACCTGTGAATCTATCTAACCAAATGGACAACAAATGGAACATCAGACCTCTCTTCACTGTTCGCAGGAGTATATATTGAATAGATCCTCTGACGTACAATCTGACGATATCCAATTCAGTGGACAGTGTGCTCCTCCTGCTATGCAACGATAGCAACAACCCAGAGTTAGTTCCAGGCTTTCAAAAATACTCCAAAAGATATATAGATATCTGGTTATTTACTGTGGTGCTGTATGTCTTAGCAAAACATTAGCAATAAAATATGCAACTAAAGTACAATATATTTTTTAATGTTGGAGAAAGATTTCTGTTTCTGTGTAGAAAGTCTGAACTACCAAAAATGAAACACCCAAAATGCTGCATAAAAATATTAATATCTTCAAATATATTAATGAGTTCTGATTGATACACAATAGTAATAAATAAATAAATCTGATTTTTCCACATTTTTTCAAAAAGACGCAGATCAACAAATGGGGGAAATTAAACACCACAACCTGTATCTCCATTAAATGGGGGGACAGGAAATACCTAAATGCATCAGATGCTTGGCTGGGAAAGGCATTATTAGGACAATTGATGAAACTTGAGCAGGCTCTGAGCAGAGGTGGCAGAGATGTCTGGGTGGGATCCGTTTTGGTGATGGTCCTGTGGTTGGTAGGAGCGTGTCCTGCTGTTCAGGGAAACACAGTAAAGCACAGGGCTCAGGTGGCATCACTCAAGATGGGGAGGGGTCAGCGTGACAGCTCACTCTCAAGGGCGCAGGAAGGGAACCTCTCTGCACTGCACGTGCACCTACTCTATAAGTTCTGCTTGTATTAAAATTTCATCTACAAGTTAAACAAGGGAAATTAAGGAACACTTAATTTTCAGAAATTGATGTAAAGAGTCAAATACCTCAATAAACACAGTCCTGACACTGCTGCTCCTACAAAGCCTGGTCGTCTCCTGTGTTTCCTCCTCACTCTTTGTTCTCTGTCCTCAGGCGGTTTCTCCCTCCTCTTCCTCACCTGCACAGTGAGCCCCAGGCCCTTCGATGGGGACATTGAAATCACGGATCCTGACCCTCACTTGAATGCAGGAGCTGGTAGGAGACAGAGACACAGCAAAGGGCTCAGCAGCTCTTCTGCTATCAGATCCGCTATCTTCCCTGCTAGCGTGTGGGTGTGCATGTGCTTGTGTGTGTCTGTGTGTGTGTCTGTGTGTGTGTCTGTGTGTGTGTCTGTGTGTGTGTGTGTGTGTGTGTGTTCCCGTGGATTTTCTGCCTCAAACTCATGACTGCCACAGGGATTTGCCGCACCTCCCCCCGTCCCATCTCACCTCTTGATATCTCTTGCTCACCAGTCGTCCAAGGTCACTGTCCTGCCCTGCCCCCTGGTCCTACCTTAGTGCCTCCAGGCTTTCAGTTCTGGCACATTCCTCACAGGTGTTCCCTTTTCCACTAGCTAAGAAGCCGTCAAGCTTAAAGGTGGGCACAAGTGTCACCTCCCGTTAAGGCTACCTCACCTTCCTGCACTGGTCATCATTCTGCAGAGAAACAGAAGCAATAGGACGTGTGTGTGAGTGTGTGTCCTTGTGTGTGTGGGGGGGGGACGTGCACAGACAGAGAGAGTCAGAGAGGGACAGCGAGGGAGATTTATTGTAAGGAAGAGGCTCACACAATTACGAGGCGGGCAAGTCCAACCTCTGCAGTGTGGGCCGGGAGGCTGGAGCCAGGAGAGTGAATGGTGAGGATGCAGTGTGAGGCAGTCTTCTGGAGAGTTCCTTCCTATTCAGACAGACCCATCTTTTAGTCAGTTTCAGGAAGTCAGCTGATTAGATCAGGCCCACCATATCACGGGAAGCAATTTACTTCACTCACAGACGACTAATTTAAATGTTCATCTCATCCAAAGCATCTTCTAAGTTGATACATCACATCACACCTCCCCAGGCTAAATTCATCACCCGCTCATGTCTCGCAAGCCTACAGTAAGAGTGTTTCACTGTGTGACTGTAGATTGTATATTTGTAGCTTAGCAAATCATGAGATTTTGGAAATAGAATATGTCCCTTCAATCTTTATAAATACATGCTCTAGTACATAGATGAGACTCAATTATGTGACACACTGAATCACCATGGAGAACAGGAGATGGGGACGTTCATTCTTCTTATGTCTGGTGTCACTTTACAGCACAAGCATCCGTGGTCAGACACACCTGACTCTGTGGCCACAGCCCTGTCCCCACTCATCTCATCACTGTGTCACTCCACCCGTCCACAGCTGAGGAATCCTCATCACATCCTCGTCTCAGTCACTGTGGACACATCTGGGACTGTGGGCAGACGCCAGAGGGAGGGGAGGGTCCAGTGGCCCCAGGAGCTGTGGAGCTGGTAGCCTGTGGTGAGGACGGGCAGAGCCCTGAGGCCCTCTCTGCCCCCAACCATGGAGCCCTTTCCCCATCCAGTGAGGGAAGGAGACTACAGCCTCCTGCTCCCCAGTCTCCATGTGAGGGGCAGCACCTGCTGACGACAAACCCATGGTGCTGAGCCTGTGGGAAAGTGGAGCAAGCCTGGACCAAGCACAGGCCTGCTCTGCGTGAGGACAGGGACATGGGATGGCCTACATTTAGAAGTTAATCCAAGTCCTAATTCTACTTTTAGTATTGTCTTTTCCTAGTAGCAACAATCTTAGGTCAAGTTCCCTGGAGACACAGTCTGAGCAGGTTTGAAGGCAGAGGCTTTTGAACTGCAAAGAACCTGCAGGACAGTGGAAACACGCAAGGGGGCTGAGCTGAGATGACAGCGCAGCAGGAGCCGGGCTACTCCACCAGCTCCACAGTTCACTATTGCTTAATTCAGTATTATGGTACGTGCAGAAACTCAAGCGTTACGCCGAAAATATAGATGATGTTTGGAAATGTTCTTCACTATCAGAGAAACTCTCTTAATATAGTATTTAGTGAAAAATAAGCATAAATGTTGGATGGACATTGACCTTTCACAAATATTATTGAGAAATAGATCCTACACCTAAATGTAAAATGCAAAGCTATCAGTCCTCTAGAAGATGATATAGAGAAAATCTAGCAGATCTCAGATTTGGTGAGGAGGTTTTAGACACTACAAGAAAAAATTAATCTGTGAAAAAACGCTAAGTTCGATTTCATTAAAATTAAAAACTTTTGTTCTTAGGAAGTTTTAATTCTCTGAAACTAAGAAGACGAAGCAAGAAGACAAAGGTGAAGAGAAAACATTTGCAAAATGTACATCTGATAAAGGAGATGCACCCAAAATATACAAAGAACTCTTGAAACGCAACACT